AAAGTACATGATAGTTCTAGAAACGTTGCGTCACAGTAGTCATGTGACTCGATGACGCAACAATATCAACTGATAAATATTATGTAAAAGCCCAGTTTATAAACAGCATATTGTAGTTGTCTACTAAGAAAAAAATTGACAATGTACGTCTAGAATGATTTAACATTGCTTCGATATAAATTCGATTGAAAAAAAAAAACGAATGTCATTATTATCCAAACTCTACAATAAGTCAATCAGTTAGTTGGTTGTCTTCTTCATATCTGAGAATTACAATGTTTTAATGTTTTGTCACTACATTTGAACATGTGTAAACGAGATATCCATAATATCATGAAAATATAAAATAAAATTTTGATTAGTATAAATTTATAAACAAAAAACGATTATAAGCATATAGAATTATTTATATTCTATGTGAAAAAAAGGTATAAATTCATACTACAAATATAGTATTTTAACAGCTGGAACCATTTCACGATTTGAGCTCATAGTTTTTTCAAGTATTTTATGATACTGTTACGACAGCGGAAGTCGCGTGACGCTAGGAGCATGCGCGCTGGAGATTCTAGAATTATCGGGGAACCCCGTTAACTTCGAGTATTTACTAGACACCCTCTTTTTTTAGTATATAAGCCTGGCAAAGAAACCCAGCAGCGTAGATAGATAGATATGCAGATAGATTGAAGATAGAAATAATTGAGTCAAGCGAATAGTAGGCACCGTAAGTAAAGTGTGTGAATCACGTGTGTTATAAAGATTGTTAAGTTTAAAGTGACTGTGGAAATTCTGTGTATTACAAAGTTTTATCGAGAAAGAATAAACTAGTTTTAATTAAGAAAGGACTTGTATCGCCGAAGTTCCTCGGAAATTAACAAACAAGCAGATACGCAACAATACAATAAGAAACCAAAAACGTATTCATGCCTTATTGCCAGTACTTATCTACTACAATTTCCAGCTCTAGTAAAATCAGGAAGTATTAACACAGTTATTCAATGAAAAATATGCTTGTTTTCTAAGGAGAATCGCTCCAACTATAAAAACATAAAATAACCTTTCCAAAAAGTTCACAATTTACAATGAAGTTTTTATTTATCTCTTGAGTCTGAAGAAATAATTCTTTGTGCAGAAAATGTCTATTAACATTATCTCGCACATTACAAATTTAAATCTATCGGTACTATCCATTACAAACACAACTGAAAAATTGAAGCATTATTTATATTATCTATAAAAAGTTTATGGACAAATGTTATTATTCATGTCAAAAGTAATATGACAAAATGAGAATGACTAAAGGTGCTTTATACACCTTAAAAATGTCTAAAGATGAGAAAATTAAATCCAAACGGAAATCGAGCTAAGTTATGCGGGTTTTCATGTGCTTCAATTTTAATTTTTGGCTTCATTATTTAGAAAAAATGGAATTTTCACATGATTCTTCTTCAATGATGAATTAGCTTTATTCTTAAGAAAAACATCTGCCATAAGAAAATTAAAGTAATTTTATTTTAGGTGTAGATGCTCGTCTACATGATATATTACAACTACATTGTATTCTAGGCCTAATAAACCTTATATACGTTACGTTAAGGCTACAAGATATACATGCTCAGCTTCGTCATATATTATAACATAATTGTGTTCCATGTTTGCTGAGAAATACATGTTCGCTGAAGTAATGCATCAAAATTATGTTTCAAGTTTAATAAAATATACAAACTTGCTTACGTGACACCTCACAGCTAGTCTGTATTCTATATGTCTAGTAAAACATGCATGCCTAATTATGTCACAGCATTGCCAGATTTTCTTTCACAGATCTAATAAGACATACGTTTTCAGTTAGGTAACGATTCAAAATTTACCCTAAAAGAAGAAACCTTGGTTAATGGATTTTATAAGTGATAAAGAAGTTTAACAATTCTCACTAATAATTAATTTGTTTTAATTGAAATTTTGCCCTCGGGTACCATGACAACTAAGTTATTATGATTGAGATATTGTTGTAGAAGACAGTCGTACTCAAAATATAAGTTTAAATTATTTACAAACACAATCGTTGATCAACTGAAAATGAAACAGTGAATATAATTTTTTTCTTTTATAGATGTGGACACTGTGTTGAAGGAAACACAAACCGAAGCATCAATTACGACATGGATATCTGTAACGTATGCGGCGGCAAAAATGAGTGTATTGGTTGTGATGGAATTCCTTTCAGTGGGCTTAAGCCTGATGAATGTGGACAATGCCTGAGCGAAACAAATGAAAAACGAAACAGTAAGTACTATATTACTAAACAGGGAAAAATAATCGTTTTCATTTTCTTTAAATACTACATTAAATTTATATATTAGGCTACACAATGGTTCCATTTGTTCTTTTGAGCAGGAATGTTTACGGTTTCGATGTATATCACATAAAAATTAGTAAATCACCAAACCAAAGAAATACAGTTAAGCCTAGTATAATAGTGTTACGACAGTGGAAGTCGTGTGACGCTAGTAACACGTCATTAGCTTCTAGAAAATTCATGTCCCTTCGTGAAGCCTCGAGTGTTTACTAGTTGTTCGGTATTCTTGTATATAAGACCGCCAAGAACTGACGGCAACAATCGGAATTGAATTGCAGACAGAGATACAGACGACAATTGAGCCAAGTGCGTGAATCGTTCGTTTGTTGTGAATTATAGTGTTTGTTTAAGTTATAGCGTGACTGTGGAAATTAAGTGTATTGCAAAGCTGTATTGAGAAAGAATAAACTAGTTTTATTTAAGAAAGGACTTGTATCGCTAAAGTTTCTTCGGAAAGAATTATTACGGAAAGTTAACAAACGATCAGAGGTGTAACAATAGTTAACTGTATACAAAATTTATTGTGTTTTGAGTCCTTTTTAACTCACAGTATAGTTTATTAAATTAAGTGTGTAGTGTGTTGACTCAGCTGACTGTGCTTATGAGCCTTGAATAGACGAAACAGCAGAGAGTGGGATAAATCAAAGAGTGCATTAGGCCTCAACTTCACAATTATATTTTCAAATTTAATTTTGGTAAAAAAAAATCTGTTATATAATCATTACAGTTGGTCCACTGTCTAATATCGAATAATGAATTAGGCGCAATGGCATAATGTTATTTACACACCTAAGTTAACTTAGGTAACTATATAGTGGATTTAAAAAGGCTGAAAAATTCCATAAATATTACAAAACTAAATTACTGTAATACAACAATATCTTTTATAATCATACTCAGGTTTTTGTCTGTCCTGAAAATGCATGCGCACCTTACAATCTAAAAGGCCATAAACAGTGGAGGAAGTAAGACATCCCAGTCATCTTGGCAGCTATTACAAAACTTTGCCAATTCCTGTCCCATTGTCCAATTTTACTTTTCTACTATTCCATCAGACTGTGGGTGGAGTGGCATTGTCCTGGTCTTTTGTATGCCAAACAAGTTGCAACATTTATGGAACACAGCTGATCCAAAGTTACGGCCTTGATCTGAATGCAGTTCATATGGCATGCCAAATCTGAAGAAGAAATCACAAATAGCCAAAGCTACAGTTGTAGCTTCCTGATTTGGTATTGCATATGCCTCAGGCCACTTGGTGAAATAATCCATCACCACACAAATGTACCTGTTTCCAGTACGAGTTTGGGGCAAAGGGACAGCAATGTCAATGACTACTCATTCCATTGTTGCACCAACTTGATATAACTTCATTGGAGCACGTCTCTTATGCTTGGGTCCCCATTTAGCACAATATGTACTGCAGATCCTGCACCATCTTTCTACATCTTGCCTCATACCTATGTAGTAAAATATCTGCCATAGGTGACTCAATGTCTTCTAAACTCCAAGATGTCCTCCTGTTAAACTATCATGGGATTGATGCAGCACAAATTCCCGTAACATTCTCGGAATAACCGTTTGCCAGGTCGCCACTTTCCCATCTGCAGTTTCCCTTCTCTGGACAAGAATACCATCTTCAAGCTTGAACTGGTCCCATTTTGCCCAATAGTTCTTTGTCACAGGGCTTAAGCTAAACACATTCTCCTAAGCAGGGTGGAAAACTCCTTTTTATAGAAAATCAATTATTGGCTTCAAATCTTGGTCTTTCTCCTGCTCTGCTTTAATATCTATACCTGGTTCCACTTCACCATCATCAACTCCTGCAGTCACTTTGCTTTCAGCTTGATGGCACTTGGTTAGTTCAACCTTTCTTTTGCAGCAATGTCTGCAGTCATTTTTGCAGGGTCTTTGGCTCAGTCCGTTGGCATTTCCATGAGATTTTCCTTCTTTGTATTCAATATCATAATTATACTGGTCTATCTTCCTGATCCAACGTTTCAGTTGTCCCTCTGGGTTCTTTAATGATCTTAACCAGCGTAATGCACCATGGTCTGTCTTGATGGTAAACCTGGAACCATAGAATTAAGGATGGAAATATGTTAGACTCTTTACTATGGTCTACTCAGGACCCTACTGAAGTAGGCCACCACATGTTCGTTTTCGTCCACTTTCTGAGACAGCACTCCTTCAATTCTGACATTAGTAGCATCACAATCCCGTATGTATGGCAGTGAGGGATTTGGAAGCTTTAAAAGTGGAGCTGAGGCCAATTTTTCTTTCAATGTCTCAAAAGCATGCTGGCAAGAAACTGTCCATTTAAACTTCTGGCCTCTTTTGGTCAAATCATGTAGTGGAGTAGCTATATTTGCAAAGTCCTTCACAAACTTCCAGTAATAGGTACAGAGTCCCAAGAAACTTCTTAACTCTTCCACATTGTCTTGTGTTGGTCAATCATGCACTGCTTTCACCTTGTCAGGATCAGTTCACACCCCATGCTCACTTACAATGTGACCCAAGTAAAGCACCTCTTTCTGGAAGAAGTGGCATTTCTTGGGATGGAATTTGAGGTTTGCTGCTTTCATGCATTTGAATACTTTCTCTATCCGGGACATTTCCTCATCAAATGTTGTCGCAAACACAATAAATACACTCTTAGGTTAATCTGCTTCAGCCATTTTTACTTGATTGAAACCCAACTTTAATTCTAGAGTTGAGAACCACCTGGCTCCAGTTAGGGCATCAAGAGTATCATCAATTCTGGGCAGTGTGCATGAGTCCTTTTCAGCTATAATGTTAAGAGCCCTGAAGTCCACACAGCATCGTTGGATCCCACCCTTCTTCTGGACTAACACGACGGGAGCCGACCAGTGATCATCTGATTTCTTGACTATCCCTTCTTTAATTAGGCCACCAATGACATTCTCCATCTCTTGTCGCTTTGCCAGAGCTATTCTCTCATAGGGATCTTTATTGGATGGCGATTGCCTTTATTTATTCTGTGTTCCACAAGGCCTGTGCAGCCAAAGTCATGATCTCCTTTCCAAAATACGTCTGCATAATTTGCAAAAAGTTCCCTAACCTGAAGAGCCTGTGATTATGACAAATAGACTATGCTCTTCTCATAGAGGTCAGTTACAATTTCTGGGAGAGGATGTCCTTTCTTTATAGTTGTATTCTAGCCTTAACATTGACTAGCTCTACCTCTTGGCACACACCGAACAATGCCCCTTCCTTAAGTGTCTGCTCACATTTAGAGAAATTAGCCACTGTTATGAGTACTACTTGATGACTTGAGACAAGTGACCTTCCAATCTTCATGTTTGCTGGCCTGAATGGGTCTTTCACTGCTTCAACAAGCATCGGGCTTCCTTGGGGATGTTCTTTCATTCTACCCCAAATTATATGCTCTGACATAGGGGATGTTGTAGTTGACTTAAATGCTGTGACATGCTAATCAACAGAAGCAGCAAAACTTACCGTAATTTGACCTTTGTTGTTTCGAAATGTCGTTTTATCAAAATTAACTACACACTTTTTTGGTAGTAAGTAGTCCAACCCTAGTATGCATTGGTTTTCAATGTCAGCTAAGTTTACTTTGTGTCTGTCCTTCATACCCATAAGCTCAATAGTTACCCACACTGGTCCCCACAACCTTGCATAATGTCACACCACAGAGCTTCTGTATCGCTTCTGGTACTCCTTTGTGATCAAGCACCTTGATACTCACAAGGGTTTGCTGAGATGCAGAATCTATGACAAAGTTGCACTTTTGGCCATCCAGCTTTCCTGTCACATAGACACTATGAGTGCTTGGCATTTTACACTTAGCTGTTGGGACTTTCACAATGGGAATTGGTGGCCGTCCTTCAGCACCAACCACTACTGGTTTCTTGAAGCTGACTTATTGGTAGTATTCTTCTTACACTGGCTCCTCATATGTCCTTGCTCTCCACATTTTCAACAACCTTTCTGGGTAGCAGCTTTTCCTGCTGTGGCATCTTCCCTGTGTTGAAGTTGCCAGCATTGAGCTCTCTTGTGCCCAGGTTTGTTAAAGAGCCAGCAAAGTCCCTCAAACTTCTCTGAAAGCTGCCATTATCTGGCTTTGAATCCTGATGACTGTACCAACCTTGGTACCTCTGTGCTGGACTCAATATAGGATTCAAATTCAAGAGCTCTGACCATTGCATCCTGCATAGTAGCGGGGTGTGCTTGCTTTACTTTGATCTTCAGTTGTGGACTGTCCAAGGCATCTACAAACTGATCCCTCAGCAAGAGTTTGAGGGCATTGGTTGGTGCCGTTGGGTAGGCCTTGTGTGCTATACTTTCCAAATCCTGTGCCAGCTCTTGGGGGCTCTCCCTTTTAGCATGGACTCTCGTCCTAAACCTAGTCCTGTAGGTCTAGGACTGAGTTTGAGTTACATACCTGATTTCTAGAGCAACTGCCATTGCTCTGTAGTTGTGCCTGTCTTCTGCTAACAACTGTCCAAGTATTTCCAGTGGTTGTCCCTTCATGCTCGTTACCAGATGCACTGCTTTCTCTTCCTCTGACCATTCATTCATTTCTGGCAGTAGTTCAAACTGTGCTCTATATGCTTCCCACAGTGCCTTCCCATCTATTCCTGTGGCTTTCTTCCTACTAGACCACCCCTATTGCTGACACTCATGTCTGGAATGTGACTTCTGGTAGGACTGAAGATGTCTGCATTAGGGTTTAGCTGTGGGGTCTGGAAGGGGCTTCCCATTGTCTGAGGCTGATTAGGTTGATGGCTAATATATAATCCTTGTCTAAAAGACAGTAAATCATTCTTTAATGTATTTAATTCACTTTGAAATTTACTAATCTTTTCCATTTGTACTTCTTGGCACTGTTGTTGACTTTCCTGTAGTTGCTGCTGACTTTCCTGCAACTGTTGGAGACTTCCTTCCTGTTTCTTTTCTTGTTCTTCTTATTTCCTTTCTTGTTCCAGTTGCCACTGGTGCTGGTTTTCTTGCCACTGCTGCAGTCTCTCTTCTTGTTTATTTTCTTTCTCCTCCACCCACTGCTGTAGTCTATCTTCTTGTTTCTTTTGCAGTTCTTGTATCTGTCATCAAATTTGCTAAGTCGTAGTTTGATTTGCCACTTCTTGTTTCTATCTTTTTTTTTTGTCCCACTCTCTGACACCAATTTGTTAGTATCTGCTCTTTTGTTAATTTCCAGTAGAAATTCTTTCCGAGGAACTTCTGCAATACAAGTCTTTTGTTGATTAAACCAGTTTATTCTTTCTCGATACAAAATTTTAGTACACAGTACTTCCACAGTCAGTGCATTTCTCGTGATTTTTAACTTTTTTTAACTTTATAACTTTTAACTTTTATAATTCACGCTATAAATCACATCAATTCATAATCTCGATAACTTCACTCTCTACAAGTGCAAAACACACACTAGCTCGAAATAGAATCGTAAATTACTCGAAAAACCGTAACTACTGTTTGCTTTATCATACATTCAATCATCATCCCCGCTGTCTTTTCTTGCCAGGCTTATTTTCTAACAAAGAGGCGTCTCTCGATCACACTTGAGCTTCCCCTAAAATTCGAGAAAGTGACTCACGCATGCTCTCAGCATCACGTGACTTCCACTGTCGTAACAATACTTTAATAGACATTTTGTAAAAAAACATATTAAAAGCTTATCTATGTTTCTAAAAAGGTCTAGCATTAGGTCGTAGAATAACATTATAAGTTTATTTATTAAGTATGGTAAAGTTTAGCCCTAACAAAACTAAAGCAAGAAACATACATAAGTTACATAATTTTTTCAAATATAAACCATGCTTAATAAAGGCTTAAATCATATTAGGCATAAGACAAATGAACTTATAAGTTTCAGTGTTTGCCATTAGACTTCTTGTGTATTATTCTAGAAATATTGTATTTAAAAGAAATATATTCAAAAGAAATATTGTATTTAAAGAAATGCTGTTAGAATAAATATTTTGCAGATCTGTGCTATTTTTATAATAACAAATAGCTTGGAACCTTGTCATAGAGGTATATTGTTGTAAGCATATAACAATCGATGATAATAATAATAATTGCAAAACAAAAGTATTAGAAAATATGATATTCAAATGTATAATGTATTGTATGATTAATACATGAGTAGTATGAACAGCGAGTGTGTAGAATATAAATTAATATCTGTTTTGTTAAATTTGCAAATTATTTTGGCACTTGTAAAAACTTATAAGTACCAATACAACAGTTTATGATATGCACTTTAAGGTTATATTTAGTGAAAGTACCGGGCTTCACGTGAGTTATTAGGATGATTTATTCTAAATGTATATGTCAGTGTGTGTGTTCTGAACCTATTTTAGCATAGAAGAACAATCAAAAATATTTTCGGCATTCTTATTTCCCAGAAACATAAAAACACTTGTTTTCGCTAGCTTGCCTCATTAAACAGATGCGCATGTGCGCACACACGTGGATAAGATAAATAGTAATAATATCCAGTTGCACACCCCCAGGATCCACTTAGTATTTTGCAATATAATGAACAACTTCTTTTCAATGTGGCATTTTGCTAGTTGCCTCATTAAAACGATGCACACAAATGTGGATAAAATAAGTACTGCACACCCTCAGAGTCCACTTAATCTGGGTGCAAAATTTCACGTTTCTTGTTTGAGCTATAGCAGTCACACATATTGTATTACACACGTAATAGTAATAATAAATAATTAATATAGAAAAATTATATTTCGATAAATTTTCTATGAATTGTGTGCCTTCTTTCAATCATTGGACACCGATTCTCGACAAACGCTGTTTTCATAAGGTGCTGTTTCACTGCCCTCTTCATTAACAAGTTAAACTGTATCTTCATGTCATGATTTCTCATTATGTTCATTGAAACCACAAATCAGCTAAATATCACATTCATCTTATCTTATTATCTTTTATATAAATTGTGCAGGATAATATGGACATAATTTCTCTTTTATTCATCGTATTCTCCATGTGCCTGTATTAGATATTTACAATATATGAACTATAGTTTAAGAGGAAATTGTGAACTTTTATATTCACATGTGAATGACTGATAAAATTGTAAATATAATGTATGTGATTTTTTTTTAAGGTGTCATTATTTTCTCCACAGATTGTACGCGCTTCATATTCCACAATGATCTTAGGATATATTTGTTAACCAAATGGAACTCTAATTCCTTTTGTTACCATTTTCAATCAGTACAGACATTGAACAAGGGAGTGTCAACAAAATGTCAAGTGAGAGATGAAGTCAGCAATTCTGTTGTAAGTATCGTTCCTGGTTTGGATACTTAAAAACATTTTTGAATCATTTGACTACTGTTTGCACATAAGAAAAGTGAAATGATACGCTTATGTCATGCCTATAATTGCTTTTAGACTTATTTTGTCTCCATGTTCTTACTAATTTGATCACTGTTAGTTTTTTGCGTATCAACACTCAGTTAATCATTTCCCTACATTGCATGTAGCGTTTTAAATTAGTTAAACACTTTACTTTCAACATATGAATTAACTTATGAACATTTTGGCCACATGAACTTTATTGGGACTATAAAATATATAATGATGCAGCAATAGGTAGAAGATAGAAGGATAAGTTAGGAGAGGTAATAAAAAGAATTAAAAGTGTTCAAAAGCACAGAAGACAGACGGAACTGAAGAAATTAATTTGTTAGTAGGAATTAACAGTGTGGCTTAGTGTTATATTGTTACGACAGCGGATGTCAC